ACTCAGAAGAATTCAAAAAACTTTTAACAAATTTCAAATACCAAAAAAAAGAAATTCAAATATGAGCAAAGTAGAATCACTGTATAGGGAAGTGGAGCATTAACTTTTGACACTCAAGAAGCTTATTAAAAGTAGCAGAGACTGGCAGAGAAGGGAGTGCCACCCACACACATGCACTCACATAGCTTGATGAAGGGTAGAGGACAGACTCGCCTGGACTAGATAACTGTCTCTTCCTTCAGCAGAGTCTCCCTTTGTATTGAGGTCAGTCCTCCTCCAAAACTCTCCAGATTCTCCAAATGCGGGATCTCTTGGGTCTCCTCAATACTCCGAGAAATGGCTAATAAATGGCACCTCAGGCAGGCTGTTTCTTGAAAGAGGCAGATGGCACCTAGGTAACAGCAAAAGTTTGGCTCAGGTTAGAGAGACTATCATGCTTCATGCCCTAGAAGTCAGGAATCCCTCCACTAAAACAACTCCTTCTGTTCTATACATACCCTTCCTAATACTCCCCCTTCAACACAGAGTATTATAGACACAGAAGGGGAAACAGAATGCACCAGAAGACAAGGCATACAAACAGATGGATAAACTCAAAGAACCATGGCCAGCACTGGAATTAGTAAGTGTCTAACCATTAATAGGTGAGAAAACAAGGTTTAAGAGAGGAAGGTCAAACACAAAACCCAGGCCTCTTGATGCCCAACTCAAGACCCTTAGTAAAGTAAAAGGAAGGGAAAAGAGAATTGATGTTCATAAGAACAAATGAAGATACCTTAAGTGAATGGTAAATGCTGTATTAATGTTAACACAAAGATAAAGGAAAACTTTTATTTTCAGCCTATAGCAGACTAGATACTCTCCCACTAAAAACAACAAAAATTCTAAATAAAATATTTCTTCAAAAACTTATTTGTAAATGCATCATTAAGCTGGCATCAGAGGAAGATATTCTTAGAAGCCAAAACCAAAATGAAAACAAGAATTAGAGTGTTAAGCAAGCCTACAATTAGCTTTCACCTTGGAGACACACTCAACCTAGGTGACTCTGATTGTCCATTCTGTTGGCCATTTGGAGCACAAAAAATAACAAAAAAAGCCCAGGGCCTTCTCAAGAGGAGAATCTAATACCATATGAAACTGGAACTTCACAGTTACCTGTGTTGACCAAGAATTCATAAACATAGGCTAGCTGTTATGTGCTTATGCAGCTAAATTCACAACACCTATGTATTTTGTTTGTGATCCCAGGCTAGTTGTGTACCTGTGTGCCAGGCAGAAGCAAATACAAATCCTTTTTTGAGGAAACACTTTAAATACAAGCCTCAAAGAATTTCTGGAAGAAAAAAAAATTCCAAGGAAAACGAATTCACTGTCAAAAAACATAAAACATACTAAGAAATAAGACACCACAACCAAGAGCCTGCATAAACAGGAGCCAATAGACTCAGACCTGAAAATAATTTGGTTGCTAAACTTATAAGACACAGAAGGTACAATATGTACAATAAGTATGTTTAACATGTATAATGCAAATATAAATTAAAAATATAAGGACAAGAGAAAAGAAAAGCTGCATTAAAAAGAATATTTTATAGAGACCCAACTTCTCAACAACAATGGAAGTGAGAATAATATCTTGAATGCTCAGAGAATAACTGTCAACTTAAAATGTGTGTTCAGCAAAACTAACTTGAATGAACAAAAATGAAAGATAATTTCATACAAATAAAATATGAGAGAGTGTATCTCTAACTGACTATCATTAAAAAACATTATAAAGAATGTATTTTAGCCTGGCTGGGCGTGGCTCAGCGGTTGAGCGTCGACCTAGGATCCAGGCAATCAGGGTTCGATTCCCGGTCAGGGCACATGCCCGGGTTGTGGGCTCGATCAATGACTCATCATTGATGTTTCTATCTCTCTCTGAAATCAATAAAGATATATTTATTTTTTTTAAAAATGTATTTCAAACATTTTGAATAATTTTATGTCAATAAATTTTAAAACTTAGCTAAAAATGTATAAATTTATGGAAATATATAAATTACCAAAATTGACTGAAGAAGAAATAAAATACTGGAATAGTCCTATAATCCTTAAAGAAACTGAATCATGAACTTAAAATTCTTCCATAAAGAAATAGCAAGCTCCTTTTACAGGCAAGCTTAGACAGAAAAAAAATAAATAATTCTAAACATAAATTCAGAAATTAGAGAAAGAACACACTCACTCATTTTATAAAGCCTGTAAAGCCATGATATCAAAATCAGAAAAGAACAATACAAGAAAAGAAATTTTAAAAACCAATCTCATAACATGAATGCAAAGTCCTAAAGAAAATATTACAATAAAAGTTAGCAATAACAAAAAAGATATTACATAATGGATGAATTTCTAATGTTATATACCACATTAATGGGTTAAAGGAGAAAACTTAATGATCTCAATACATACAAAAAGAAAAGGCATCCAATAAAACTTAACATCCATTCATGATTACAAAGAAAACACAAATCTTTGCAAACTGCAACTAGAAGTTAACTTCCTTAATATGACAAATACTGTCTACCTAAAATATTTAAAAATAAACACAACAGTTTCTAATAAAACATCCCATTACTACCTAATTATCATTGTATTGCAGGTACATATATCTGGGAGGGGAATCAAATAAAAGGATAAAATTATAAAACTTTTAAACAGCCATTAAAGAAGGCCTATGGAAATGCAAACAAAATATCATGTTTGTGGATAGGAAGATCCAGTTTTTTAAATCAGTTCTCCCTAAGTTGACCATATATTCAGTAATTCCAAACAAATTTCAACAGATTTTTTTCTGTGAAATGTAATGAAAGATTTCTTATATGTAATATATATATATATGTAAAAGATTTTTGTATACCTAAGAAAAAAGGCCAAAATAGCTAAGGTACCTCTGATAAAGAACTAGTGGGGGAGAGAAACAAGATGGCGGCGCAGGTAGCAGCTGTACCCACGGCCTCCCACAACCACATCAAAATTACAACTAAAATGCAGAACCACCATCACTCAGAGCCTCCTGAAACCTAGCTGAACAGAAGCCCTACAACCAGGGAGCTAAAGAAGCATCAAGGCTGGTAGGAGGGGCGGGGACGCGGGCGGATCAGGGATGAATCCCGGAGACATGGCCTCCGGCCCACACCTGGTGCCCTGGTTTAAACCCCGGAGGGAATCTCGGGGCAGAGGTTTTCTGGAGGAGTGAGGGGTCCCAGCCCCACAGCAGGCCCCCAGCCCAGGGCTCCAGGGCCGGGAAGAGAAATCCCCACAACTCCAGGCTGTGAAACCAGTGGGAACTGTCCCTGAGGGTCGCGGAGGCTGCGGGAGCCCCAGCAGCTCCTCTTAAAGGGCCGGCGCATGGACTCACTCAGACGCTCCCTCTGAGCCCAGCGCCGGGCATCAGCTTAAAAGGAACCTGGGACACTTGGGGAGGAACTAACCTGCCTGAAATCTGGGTGAGAGATGGAGGGGCAGCTTTCTCCCAGGCAAAAGAGCTGGTGGAGGCCATTGCTCCTTTGGTGAGTCCTCCCTGCACACAGCCGGTAGGCAGGCGCCATATTTGAATCAACAGCACCTGACTCACACCTTTGGCCCCGCCCCTTGATTCCCAGAGGTGAAGGCCTGGGGAGGGGGTGGGAGTGAAGTGGAGGGGGTCAATTGGGGAGAAAAATGGGACACCTGTAATAATCTCAACAATAAAGATAATTTTTTTTTAAAAGAAAAGAACTAGTGGGAGGATTTTTCCTACCAGATATCAAAATATATAATATCAAGATATCATAAAGCTACAGAAACTATGAAAGTATGGTTTGTGCACTAGAATAGATAAATTAATAGAATATGGAAATTTTATTAATAACAGAAATGGCACTCTAGATCAGTGCAGACTAGTCAATAACTGCCACTACAACAACTTGATATTCATTTGAAAAACATAATGAAAGTGATCCCTACCTCACACCATTAGTCAAGTCAAGATGGACTAAAGAGCCCAGCTGGCATGGCTCAGTGGTTGGGCATCAACTTATGATCCAGTAGATTGTGGTTCAGTTCCTGGCCAGAGCACATCCCCAGGTTTCAGGCTCAATCCCCAGCAGGGGGCGTGCAGGAGGCAGCCAATCAATGGCTCTCTCATCATTGATGTTTCTCTCTCTCTCTCCCTCCCCTTTCCTCTCTGAAACCAATAAAATTATTTTTTTTTAAAGATGGACTAGAAAGCTAAATATAGAAAGTAAAACTACAAAACTTTAGAAGATACTAAAGAAAATATCCTTAAGACCTCAAAAAGGAAAGATTTCTTAAATAATACATAAAGGAAATAAACCGCTTAAAGGAAAATATCAATAAGTTTAACTGCAGTAAAATTATTTTCTGTTCCTCAAAGGACCCTGTATAAGAAGTAAAAGGCCAATCCCTAAAGTAGAAGATATTTGCAATACCTACACTAATCAAATAGTATATAAAATATATAAAAAACTACAAATCACTTTGAAAGGACAAAAAATAGGAAAAATACTAAATAAGAATTCCTTAGAAGAGGAAACACAAATGGCCACTAATCATATGAAAACATGTTCTTCCTGTTTATTAATTAAGGAAATGCATTTTATTGATTGATTGATTGATTGATTGATTGATTGATTGATTAAGGAAATGCATTTTAATAGCATGAGATGCTATCTTTTTTTTATATATATATCTTTATTGATTTCAGAGAGAGAAAGTGAAAGGGAGAGAGGGAGAGAGACAGAAACATCAATTGGTCAGCTGCCTCCTGCATGCCCCCAACTAGGGATTGAGCCTGCAACCCGGGCATGTGCCCTGACTGGGAATCAAACCGTGATCTCCTGGATCCTAGGTTGATGCTCAACCACTGAGCCATGTCCAGCTGGGTGTGAGGTGCTATCTTAAACCAATTAAATTGGCAAAGCTTTAAAAGTCTGACAATTGCAAATGTTGACAAGGAGGTGAAGCAACAGGAATTCTTTTTCCTGACAGTAGGAGTGCAAATTATTACTATCTTTTGGGAAACCTATTGGGCACCATCTAGGAAACCTGGAAATATGCATAATCTGGATCCAGAAATTCCAGTATTTGGCATCTTGGAGACCCTCTTACACATGTGCATCAGGAGACATACACAAGAAAGTTCATGGCAGTGTTGTTGGTAATAAATAAAATTAACTGGAAACAATCCAATATCCAATGGATAAATTGTGGATAAGTTACTGAAGTAAATACTTAAGGTTGTAAAAGTAAATGAACCTCAGTTCCTTGTATTACATGGAGGAATCTCAAGGTTATAATGTTGATCAAATTAGAAAGTTCCAGAAGAATAAGCACCGTACAATTACATTTACATAAAGCTTTTTCTTTTAATATATTTTTTGCCAATCTTTGTTTTGTTTTTTTTTTTTATTGATTTCAAAGAGAGGAAGGGAGAGGGAGAGACAGATAGAAACATCAATGATGAGAGAGAATCATCAATCGGCTGCCTCCTGCACGCCTGCCGAATGGGGATTGAGCCCAAATCCCAGACATGTGCCCTGACTGGCAATCCAGCTGTGACCGCCTGGTTCATAGGTTGATACTCAACCACTTAGCCACTCCAGCCTGGCACACTTATATAAAGCTTTAAAGCATGCAAACTAAATAATATGTTATTTAAGAATATATATGTTTATAGTAAATACAGTTAGCATAAGTTTCAGAATAAATGGTTCTGCCCGGATGGTGTGGTTCAGCAGTTGAGCATCAAACTATGATCTAGGAGATCGCAGTTTGATTCCCGGTCAGGGCACATGCCCAGGTTGTGGGCTAGATCCCCAGTGTGGGGCTTGCAGGAGGCAGCTGATCAATGATTCTCTCACCATTGATGTTTCTGTCTCTCTCCGCCCCCTCCTCAAATCAATAAAAACATATTTTTTATTTTTTATTTTTATTTTTCTTAAATATATCTTTATTGATTTCAGAGAGAGGAAAGGAGAGGGAGAGAGAGAGATAGAAACATCAATGATGAGAGAGTCATCATTGATCAGCTGCCTCCTGCACAACCCCAACTGGGGATAGAGCCTGCAACCCGGGCATGTGCCCTGACCGGGAATCGAACCCCGATCGCCTGGATCCTAGGTTGATGCTCAACCGCTGAGCCACACCTGGCCGGGCAAAAACATATTTTTAAAAAAGCATTATAATCACGAGTCAGGTTAACGTAGCAGGGAGAGGATTAGGGACAAAATTAGATAGGATTATGAACTTACATGGTGATGGTAGGTAAAGATAAAGGGGGTAGAGTGAGGAATAAGATCTTAGATTTCAAGATAAAGACAGAGAGAGGACCAGAAAGTCTGAGGAACCAGGATGATAAAGGGAGAGTATGAAAAGTTGGAAGAGTCTGGTTCTCAAGTCAAGTAGGATAAGAATTGGGAAGGACAATGACTGGGGGTAGAGCAGTGCTGTCCAGTAGAACTTTCTACAACCATGGAAATTTCTATATCTGTACCACCCAACATGGTAACCATTAGACACGTAATAATGTGGTTATGGAACATTTATAATGTGTCTAGTGTGACTGAGGCACTGAATTTTTAACTTTATTTCATTTTATTAATTAAAGTTAAATAGCCACATGTAGCTAGTGACTGCAGTCTTGAACAGTGCAGCTCTAGAGGGTCCATGGCTTCTGAATCCAGACAGAGGGCAAGGAGAGGGGGCACCAGTCCCAGGACACTCACCAGCCACTATGAATAGAAGGATGCCGAAGCCCAGGACGTAATAAGGCCACTGCACGGCGAATTGGGAAGGGCTGGGCTTCATCCTCAGACTCTGGATCTCCAGGGCATGCAGCAACAAAGCGAGGAAAGCACAAGCCCCTGCAGGGTCACAGAGAAGCACACTTGCTCTCCTCCTCTGGGTCTGCCTTCACTCCAGCCTTTCTCAGACTTAATCAGACAGAGCCACATGGCCTACAGCCTATGTGACTCCTGCATGGAGGCTCCTTTCTCCTGATGGCACACCTTGCCCTCTCATAGCCAATAACTTCCACCCCACATGCCTTTCTTGCCCTCTTTCCCAGCCCAAAGGCCATGTGTCTCACCTCCCAGGGGCCCCCTAATCAGAAATCTCTTTCCTGGGTACCCTCTGTGTTATGACCTAAGCTGACTCTAGCCTAGGCCCTCTGGGTGTGATGCTTTAGATGAAACTCAACCTGATTCTCCCACCATGACCCTTCCAGCTCTCCACCTCATGGCAGTAGAGCACCTTGGTCAACCTTTAAAAGTCAGAGGTTCCAAAGGGCAGAGATGGTCTCTTCTATTCATTCATCCAAAAAACATTTATATTTCATTTATATCATATATTTCAATTATATTAGAATTCTATTCCAGACACTCTGTCAGTCACTGGGATAGATTATGGTAAAAAGACCACAAAAGAAATGACACCAACCAATGTGGTGAGGACTGTGCTAGCTGGAAGTATAGAGTACTGAAAAGCCCCAAAGAAGAGGGGTCATAAATACTGAGGGGGTGTATATGGGGGTGGGCTACTTCATAGAGAAGCCAACAGAAAAGAGAGGCCTTAAAATCCTCTCTCGACATCACAAAGACCACCCCCCTTCCCCCCACACCCCTTTGGACCCCTCCCCAGGCCCTCCCCAAGGCCTGCCTGCCTGCTCCACACCTGTGAGGAAGCTGATGAAGGCCGATAAAAAATTGTACTTCCAGGTCCTTGGGAAGAGCTGAGATGCAAAAGACACCATGATGAGGGTGGTGAGGAAAGACAAGACGACAGCAGACAGCAGGAAAACACGGCCAAGGATGATGTAAACTGCAAGGAGGGAGAGCAGGCTGTGCTGGGCACCCTAACCCCAAAGGGCAGAGCCCACACAGCCCACAGATCCTGGGCAGGGATGGCACTTGGAGCTCCGCCACCTCAGGCCCCAATATGTAGCCTGGGACCAAGGTTCCGACCCTCCCACTTTGGCCCCAAGAATGCTCTGGCCCTATTTTGTTCCCCATGACATGCATGTAAACAACAACGAAAATTAGATGGACAAATGGTGGCTTTAAAAACAACATAAAATAAACACCTAGTGATAAAATTTGTTACATGAGGAAACAATCCTTGTATTGGCCACACTGAAATAAGTGGAAAATCAAGATGTTCTGAACTCTGCAGGGAACCCCTATAATTATCCTGGTTAACAGAAGTAATGAAACAGGCCCAAGATAGCAGAGCCAGAGTCTTAAGAACAGGGTGATTTATTCTCCTACTTTTGGCATGATTCACACCCATGATAAAATGAGTTGGTATATGCTCCTAAGCATGCCGAAATGGACAGCTGGGGGTGGAACAAAGAGCCAAAGGTATTGTTGAAGACCCGGAGTTCTAGAACCTACCCTGGGGTTAAAACAGTGCTTCTCAGCCAGAGACAATTTTCCCCCCACAGGGGATATTTGAAGTAACTGTTTGTCACCACTAATGGAGGGAGGGTTCTACTGGTATCTAGTGGGTAGAAGAGGGCAGGGGTGCTATTAACCTGTAAGAAAGAGGGGAACCCCCACAACAAAGATTACTCAACTCAAAATGTCATAAGTGCTAAGGTTGAGGAACTCTGGATCAAAGAGCTCGCCCAGTCTGACCTCTCTTCTCCAAAGTGGCTCTTCTTTCCTATCACCAGGAGGTAACCCCTAGGTCTCCTGAAGTCACCTCTTTTCCAAGACAGATACCATCATGAACTTTCCAAGTTCCTTGTAAAACATGGTCTTGAGTGCCTCCTTGATAATGTGGTACCCAGGCCTGAGCACATTATCTGCAGAGTTGCCACCCAGACTTGGACAGGTGTGTGACCAAAGGGAGAAACAGAAGCTGAAATCCCAGTAGAGCTAGGAGCCCTAGGGTGCTGTCTGGATGGGCTAACAGCAGCCCTGAGAGGTAGGGAAGCCTCTCAGAATAGGGCAAGATCCCCTCCCTCATCCCAGGTGGAGCCACTCTTTCCCCAGAAATAAACTTTGTTGCTGACTCTGGTGACAGCCTGACATTATTAACCCCTTCCCAGCCGCCTACATTCCTCTTAACCCCAAGAGAGTGGAGACTCATAGAAAATACCCTTACAGGCTTATTAAATCCTGTCCTCTGCCACTCCCCAGTCCCTGCACCAGCCATCTGTCTCCCCAGTCCCTGCCTCCATCCCTCCTTACGGGATAAGGGTCGAGGCTTCCAGCACTTGATATGAAAGCAGTTCTCAAACAGGCCACTGAAAAACACTTCGCCGGACTCTTCATTCACAAGTCGCACCCAGAAGGGGAAGATGGCAACCAGCAATATGAGCAGGTAGCCCAGGGAGGTCAAGGCCGGGGCTATGACCCATGTGAAGCCCTTTATTTCCTTGTCCTCTAAAGTCAGCATCACCTGTGTAAGCGAAAAGTGAGGGCAAGAGGTGGGGCGCCTACTCCCAATTCTCGTGTGGCACAAGAGGTGGCCTGCAGAAATGCTAGCACATAGGTGAGGCTCAGTAAATGTTGGCTTCTTTGCCTCAATAAACTTGACAGCCTTACAGACCTCTTCAGTGGACCTAAGAAACACGTAAGACATTTTCTGCCACTAACTCACTGGGTGATCTTGGGCATGTGGGGTCCCTTCTCTGAGTCCCAATTTCCACTTGCGTAAAATGAGGAGGTTGGACTAGGCTGTCCCCAACCTCCTCCAGCTCTAAAGTTCTAACCATTCAATTCTGTTATCAACCACCCACTGGCCACAGAAGAGCCTCTCCAACACCCTCTTTCAGTCAGCTATTTGCCTTTTGAGAATTCAGAATGAGGACCAGGGGGAGATAAGCCCAGGCTCTGAAGTGCCCTTACTCAGTGACTGGCCCTCTTGACTCAGGACACTGGGTTTAGATGGAGACAAGTCCACCTCGCCAGGGGGAGCCCTCTACTGAAAAAATGAGCAGATCATATGCACAGAGGAAGTTTTGAAAATAGTTTTAGAGTTTCATAGAATTTCCTGAAGCCCCAGGTACCCTCTAGGCCTAGAGGTCAAGCCCTTAGTTAAGGATCCCTCATATCTTCTCCTTCACCAGTGTCCGTCATTAAAGATACCTTCTTTTGAATGAGCACCTGAGATGTAGAAGATCTGGCTGAACTTGGCTTTAGAAGCCCTCGACTGTCATCCCAGCTTAATCGCTTGCTAGCTGTGTAACCTTGGGAAGCTTGCTAAAACTCTCAGGAGTTTGGGCCCCCCATTTGGAAGAGGGAGATATAACACTAGCCGAGGGAGTCATTGGGAGGGCCAAATGAAATACTGCATACTAAAGAGTCAAGCACAGTGCTGGGACTCAAGTGCTCGGTTAAAGTTGGGGGTGGGGGGGCTGAGGGGATGAACTCCTAAAATTCAAATATTCCTGTGGGAAAAGGGGCTAGTGGCCATTTACAATCTAAGGGCAAATTTATTCAACTCATCTGCTTTCCTCTGCCTTTGCCAAGCCTGGCAGCCCTGAGGAATGAGTTTTCCCCAAGGCAGAGAGGAACTAGTGGAGAAAGGAGAGGAGTTGAGTAGGAGCCTGGGGTGGTGTGGGGAGGGCAGTCCTGATTGGAGTGCATCCAGGTGGCACTGTGATGACCCTGGCAGTGCAGAAGGGGGGCACATGATAAGGGAGGTGAGGGGTACCCTAAGACAACAGAACAGCCCTTCTTTCTAAGTCATGCCCAAAGTCAGGCCGGGAGACTCCTGTATAAATAGGGCTGTGCTTGGCAGCACTAAGGATTCAAGCTGTGCAGAGTGAAGGTGCTGCTCTTACCTCTCTGCACCCTTTGCAAACACCCTTGCTCATGCCCAGGCATTAGGGCCTCTCCTTGGTCCCCAATGCAGATCCTCCCCCTCACTGCAGCTGGAGACAAGGAGTGTCTTTGAGGCTTTGAGAACTGTTGATCACTATAGCAGAACAGGCATAATGGCAGAGGGCACAGGTGTGGGTGCTCTCTTGGCCCTCCCACCCAACTATGCTGTTTATAAATGGTTAAACCACTGCTCCTCTTTGAACGCTGTTAGAATGCTCTGGAAACATTCTAACGTGCTTTCTCCTTTCTGTCGCTCACTAGTTTCTCTTCTTCCCACCTGAAAAATTGGATCCTTCCCTCTCTCCAAAGTAACCCTTCGATCTCCCCTCCACCCTCCAGGCCGACTGATGAGTCACCTGAACTTCAGGGCCTCACTTTCCTTCACTCTAAAATGATGAAGGAGGTGGGACCAGAGAGTGTTGAGTCCCAGCTGTAAAACTCTCCAGGTAGGAGTCATGACTACATATGGATCCCCATGCTCTGGATGGGATGCAGTACCTTAGACATTTTCATCTGATGGTCTGTACCCCTTCCTGTCTACCTCCTGCAATCTCAATTTGTCTAAAACTGACCTGAGTGTCATCCCTATTTCAGTCATTCTCTCCATCACCCACACTGTAGCCAGGAGCTCATGCTGTCTTCTCCCCTTCTCCCATGCGTCCAGCTCATCAGCCTTCCTCATCTCAGTCTTCACGAAGTTTCCCAACCATGCACCCTTCCTGCACCCACATCCCCCATGTCCTGGACCACCACAGTGATCCCAAGCATCTGCAGCTTCCATGCTTGGGGTCCTTCCCTGGGGGTGCCCTCTCTGCTCTTCCAGATCTTTTAAATCCCATCTCTTCTGGAAAGCTCAGCTTGATCCTGTCCACTCCATGTAGACCTCCCAGACACTAACCATTATCCATTCCCTCGACAAAAATTAACTGTGTACTTACTGGACGCCCCATGCCAGGTTTAGGCCAATGGGGACAATTCAGGGACCAAAAAAAAGACAGGAATTTGCAGGCTCTTGGTAACTACTGCAAAGAGAGACAAATAAACACATCATATTGATACAGTGCTTTCCCCTCCCCAGCCTGGGTTTACCACGTGGGGCCTCCCAGTGTACCACCTCCTGTCTGCACTCCCCACCTCTACCCCCAACCCTGCTCTGCAGTGAGGTGGACCTTGTTGGCCTTTCTCTGAGGATAGGCCAGGGTTCTGCATGGAACAGCCCTTAGTTCTGGGACTGGATGAATATGCAATTTGAGGAATGCACTATAGGCCAGACTCAAAGGACTACTGACATTTTAATATAAAGAGGATTTGTAGATCCCTTTATATTGATGAAGAAACAGAGAGCAGGAGAGAAAGCTCCATTGGTCCAGGATCACAGTCAGTCAGTCAGTGGGGGCCAGGGACCAGAAAACCATGTGGCTGTCCCTCCCACCTCACCAGCCCCTACTGGCCAGTTTAACTCAGTGATTTCCAAATGTGAAATTTAGTGGAACCTGTGACTTTTTTCTAATAGGTATATTCATGTGCATATGTGAGAAAGGGAGAGGAGAATGGAGGAAGGTAAGATTGCCAACTTTTTATTTTGCCAAGGGCATACAAAACAAAAAAACTGTCATCTACTATCATTGACTGTTTTAATTATTATTATTATTATTTTAAAAATATGTCTTTATTGATTTCAGAGAGAGAAAAGGAGAGAGAGAGAGAGAGATAGAAACATCAATGATGAGAGTCATTGATTGGCTGCCCCCTGCACATCCCCCACCAGGGGTTGAGCCTATAAGCATGACCCAGGCATGTGCCCAGGAATCGAACCAAGATCTCCTGGGTCATAGGTTGCTGCTCAACCACTGAGCCAAGCCGGCTGGACTTATTATTATTTTAAAAGGACCTCAGACACTAGAAAGCAGAAGAGCTGCGAACTCCTCTATGGGGCCAGGAACAGCACCTGAGAACCACCAGCTTGGGTGGAGGGTCCTCAATCCGGGTTCCCTCTGGGACAGTCTCCCTGAGCCACCCTGCAACAGCCTGAGAGCAGCCCTGTCACCTCCCCAGGCCCTATGCACCCCGGCAACACCTGGAAACTGTGTGGGGGATAAAGAGGTGGGCGACATAAAGTACACCTGGGTTGGAACAGGGACGAGACCAGGAGGGCTGCCAGGGAGAAGGACATTCCTCCCACTGGCAACCTTCTTCTGCCCAGACCTTCCGTGGCCCCAAAGTCAGTGACATTTTCCAGATGCAACGATGGGTCCCAACCCGGCCATCCACCCCCAGTCACCACCCTGTGGGTCTCAATAGCTCAACCGGTTATGTTTAGGCAGGTGGTGGGTGGGGGG